AAGACTACCTATTGCTTTTATCAACTATACTGAACTTGGCAAACCTGAATCTGAAGCTGGGAGTCGCTACAAGGGGATCAGCAGGCCGATTACGACAACATAGTGAGTTCAAGGACCTGCATTTAGAAAGGGACAGGGACATGAAAGTGTAGAAATTCATCATAGCGTAATGAAATGGGCCGATAAAGCTGGTACAAAACAAGAGAGAGGGGCTCTATAAAAGAAAAGCGGGAATAAGGCTCACCTTAATGATGGTAAGGACCAGTTAAAGTCGGCTTGTTAACGTGCGCAACCAGAGTTGCGACATAAAGCGACGGCTCTCACTTTTTCGCTTTCAAACCGTGGGCATACTTCACGCGATTTCAGTCGCAATCTGGCATTTCGTCAGATGTCAACTCAATACTGGCAGCCCCAAGTATACAGCATGCATGACTTTTGTTGAGTGCTAAAATGCCCTATCTTTCTTACATTCAGAACCCCTTACGATAGATTACGAATAATTGGAGTTTTGCCAAATCGAGTCGCGACTGGAATCGCGTGAGGTATGCCCAAAACCTTATGATCTGCACTGTAACTCTCGTCATCCAAAGCTGGAACAAAGAAATTCAAGAGTTGAAGTTTTGAAGAAAAGCTAGGAAATTGTGATGCAAACAAGATTCAAGAAAGGCTTGAATTTCTTCATCAACATTTTGTAAAAGAATTGTTGGATGATTAAATTCTCTTTGTTTGCCGAAAGTCGTACATGATTTGTCCTGACAAGAGAATGGTCAAAGTCGAAGTGGCCAATCCAAAATGCAGCATGATGCGCTAACTCTGAATCTGTCTTCCTTATCTGATTATCGTTTCTCTAAACGAAGTTATAAGTCATTAAAAGCCACTATTTTGCCGAGAAATTTTGCGTGAAAGTGAAACTTTGGCCATACAAAGCCACGTTCGGCTCAATGCTGGGCCAAAACACGCAACAAGGTTACTTCAAAACCTTGAAGCCTAAAGCTGAGATGAAAGTGCAACAATGTACTCAATTTCGCAAATTTTATGCACGATTTTTCAAAACGCAAAGCATCCATTCCTCTAAGTGCACACAGCAGAGTGTCGCACGATAATATGCCGTTTGATATCGCTGCCACAATCTTGTCATACGAACGAGAAACTATCCCACGAAAGACACTCGAAGCATTTTGGATTACGTCACGTAACCCCAAAATGAACAAAAAGGACGAGTGCATTAACGTAATCAAAGAATTATCACCGTATCAAAGCCTTTGCGGTTTTGATAGCCAAAGTATAAACAGCATGGAGAACAAAAACGTACCATCTGCACAGCTTGACCACGAGCGGTCAAATCCATCGACTAACGTCAAATAAGGTAAGACATGTTCTAGCTCTTTGCTGGTCTCGTGCTCAACGCAGTTGAATGTACGGTAACGAGGGCTCAGTAGGCACTATCGTCGACTCTAAAAATCGTGACGACGGTCTGCAGTGCGGCCAGTGCGCGCCGCACAACACTGCCGCCTAGTGATTCGCCCAAATTACGTGGAGAAGGTGAGTTCTTGTGGTTTTTCTTTTTCTTTTTGCATCTTTTTTGCTTGCAGGAACTTTCATGGCTACCGCAGGGAGCCTACACTGCTGAAAAGCAAGATTGCCTTACGATAAAGCGGCATTGCCGTGCGGCGCGCACTGGCCGCACTGCAGACCGTCGTCACGATTTTTAGAGTCGACGATATACACATACGTTTTTGGTTACAGGCTCTGAAGACGGCGTTGGCGCCGAAACGTTAGCCAAGTAATAAATTGTCACCATACCAATCTTGGCCACCGTTCAACAACAAATCGAAAGATATTCAAATTATGCCAAAATTCATAGAAGGTCGAACCTGGAGGTTAATAGAAGAAGTACCAGCAGTACCATGTTTTTGCCAAAGTGATGCTGTGCTCTTTTTATACTAACAATTCTATACTACGACACCCTAGAAGCGAGGACCGGTAGCGGCGGAGTGGGCCGTTGAGTCCGCTGGGCGGCGCAAGTGGCTTTTGCCGGACCCACCTCTGCCAGCCGTCCTCGCGTCCTTGAATTTGCTTCAATTTCCCGTGACCGAGTAACAAGGAAATGCTTTCGAATAGTATCAAGTGACTCGACTTCTTGAAATTTAAGTCAGTGACGGCAACAACAGCACTAATGCTTAGTATCGTCCAAAAGGTGACCGATGATGAATTGCATGGCCAAGCAGTGATGCTAGCAGGCCAACGTTCTGCGCCAGAATGAAATTTCAACTTCTATAAGTTTCTCCTTGTTTGCTTTTGTGGACTGGCTTTGAACTTTGCTAACTGTTGTGGAAAACAACGTATGACGCGCGCATTACGGTGCGTTTCGCTCCCGACGTTCTCTCATTTTAAACCTGCGTTTCGTCTCTTAGAGCAAAGAGTTGCATTGAGATTTCATATAATCCACGAGTCATTTCGAACTTGATGATTACGGACTACTCTCTTCTTCTGTAGTATGTCAGTCAAAAGGTTTGGAAAGGGGAATCCTAGATTAGTAGTGGAAGCGAACCAGCCCAACAAGGGAAGTGTCAGAAGTCGCAATGGCCTGTTGATATCAGATGGCTGTCATCTAAAGCAGCCTCGCTGATTCCAAAACAGCTTTTTTTAGCTAAGAACGGATTCGGGGCGAGAGTTTCGAATTTTACTTCGTGGGAGGTTTACAGCGCTGGGAGCAAAACCGAAACTATCAAAACCTGTTTATTCTGGGCTCAAACCTTAATGAACAGTTTATCAATGGATGTAATCCTACTTCTTATCAAGCATTCGAACGATTTCCATAGTCATAGATAATCACCAAACAGTGTGATTTGCGATCAAAATGTCCATAACTTGCGAACCAGACTCGAAATCAGCGTTTTGAGCTATTCAGATAATACCTACCTCATGTCGAAGGGTCACTGCGAATTCTGACACTTCCCTTGCAAGTGAATAAGTATACGAAAACGAGCGGTGCGAGTGGATACGTAACTCGATTAAGAGAAAGGCATTGGTATGTTATCTATAGTGGACCCAGTGCTGGATTCGTATTTCATCTCAGTGTGTTTCTCAATGCGAATTATTTTGCCGTCCTCTTTCTCCTTTTGCGGTTTTGTAAATCGTATTGTCGCCAATGTACAGGGTGCGGAAAAAGTACTGTCCCTCGAAATGAAATTTTGGAAGTCGGCGTAATTCACAGGTTTTGCTGGTAAATTTGACAGAAATCCCAAGATGTGAATATATTCTAGCATTTTACAAAAACTGGCTTCAGAATTCTACAATTTTGCCCGGCGGCGGATCCCTTTTCGCAGCGTATCTCATATCAAATCTTGCAACTCCCTATACAAATGTGAAGAAATGTTAGGATTTTTGGGATATTTTTTTGTTTGTCACGCGAACTCGAGAAATTCTCTACTGCTTAAGGGATGTGGTAATGAATCCCGAAATATTCTGAAACTTTCCAGTCAGCAGTTGCACTAGGAGAAAAGCTGTGAATTTTTCTAACGAGTATGTGGCTGCGGAGCAACAGAGTGCGACCAGAAAGCGTGGCACAGAGACTAGGTATAATCATTTATCGCTCCAAAATCGTGATGTAGACAAAGTTCGATGCTCTTTTCATTATTTCTGTTATTTTTTGTTGGCATCTGGGATTGCGAATCGTAGTCTGAATCCAATTCATTAAGCAAGCGTAATCCTGACTCGCCTCTTTTTCGAGAATTTTTGCGATTTGCATGTGATATAATATTCCTTATTTGGCCAAAATAAGAGTCACAATTTATAATTCACCTATAATGGGTGTAGAATGTTGGGGGAAAAGGTCACGCACTATGTACCCGCTCAATTTGAAGCTTATATCAGTGCTGGTGGTATAGTTACGGTCCATAATCGAGCTTGTATGCTATCGGCGCATAGTTAAAGTTCTTGCGCGCTGTTATCACTCGTTCAAACGGACAGAAGAGAACAGTTTCAAATCAAGCTTATCTTTATTAATCTCAAGAATCTCGCCTACGTATGGGAATCAAAAAACTACAGATTTGCTTTATGTTTGGGGTATTTCAGGGCCAAGCTGGAGGGACAGTACTTCTCCCGCACCCTATGATTGTCCCAACGAATTTTCGAAAAGATAGGTTCGCAGATTCTTCCTCGTCACGGCCGGATACAAGTGTAGTGAGTATTTTGTTTGAGTATAACGACTTTTCTGCCTGCCTGCTGCCTAAAGCAAATCCATTCTGAGGAGTTTAGGTATAATCGAAAATATAGCAGACAAAGCTACACAGGAAAATCGAGAACCGTTAGTTATGCTTAGCATTCCTACATGGGATTCATTTGAGCAAACAGATGAAAACACAAGCGGTGCGCTTCCAGTAGTTAAAATCTAATTCTGGCGCAACATAGTATCCCGCTTCCCTAAGAGCATAGTTCCACGACTACAGCCTTTATACAACCTGTCGTTGCTATGCTTCCTCAGCACTCATCTTTTTGACAAGATTCAGCATCATTACCGTTGTTGCCTACGCTGATTTCAACCTGAAAAATACAGCAATATCCTCTTTCGTTTCTATCAGTGAGACTCGAGGCAAACTCAAGGACGCCACACCGGCTGGCAGCGTTGGGTCCTGGCAAGAGCCGCTTGCGCCGCCCCGCGGATTCAGCGGCCCACTCTGCCGTTAACGGTCCTCCTAGAAGTACAATCGTAAATTGTCGGCTATCTATAAGCTCTAATCAATAAGAAATGTTGAGTTAAGCTTGAATAGCCTGAGTGAGGAAAGCTATATTCGATATTTCTCGGGAACTACAGCCGATAACAGATCAATAACAGAGCAATTATAGAGAGCCGAAATTTTACCATTGTACTTCTCAAGGCACGTAGTATAAAACTGTTAGCATAAAAAGAGCTGCTTTTACTTTTTACCTTTTTCTGCTTTTACCCATAACGTCCAGCAATCCTTAGATGAAAACGTAAATGTCAAGAAATGTAATACCTGGGATGAACGGATATCCTGGAGAGAGGCGGCTGGAGCAGGCAAGTGGGTTCCAGGGCCTATAGGTGAATATTTAGTTGTCGCTTTCATTAGCGAAAGCAAACCTGGAAGACTATTATCGTTTGCTGCAGTTGCCAGTAAGGCGAATTCGAAGACCAGGTACAGCATTGAGTGTGCTTGGTTGATACTAGTCCTGCCTATTGCAAATCGTTGTGTACTTAATCAAAATTGAGTCTGCGAACCTTTCAAATAGATTATTTTATCAAGCGTCTTTGATGCTGTGCAAAGGGTGAGAAAAGAAGGTTGGAGGGGCAAGTGGTTTCGAACAGGAGGGCCACTGAAGGAAAGGGCCGAATTATGTGATAAAGACAACGGTGTTGTTGCTCCTTGTTGGTTTATAAGCATCGTTAGAGAAGAGATATTTATACAAGAGATTGCTTCTTTCACCAGCTTAGTTTGCATCATCATTTGCAACACTTTCAACGGATGTCTTCATTGCGAAAACGTGGTGCTCAGCTTCTTTGTTAGTATTAACAGTGTCCAAACACACTTACAAGTGGCTTCTCACCTGACTTTTGTGAGGGATGTGGTGTAAGAGGAACAATAATTGTCAGCCGCCGATGCTAATTACGGAGAAGCTATATTTGCCTCACGTCCGTCTTACTCGTTAAAAAACGCATACTTTTACTGAACTTCTCCATAGTTGAGAAATTGCAATATTTGAAAATAGTTGCATTACATATCCATAATAAGAAGTGCAGGACAAACTAGTATACAAGACTCAAAGAAAATAAGGATTTGAAATGAAAACTTTACATAATAATTTCTACTCAAAGCTCACTGATAGGTGCAAATCGGTGATACACTTGCAAGAAGAATTTTTAACTACTGGAAGTGTCACTAATATTTCTAAAGTACTTGTTGTTGTGCAACAACCTCTCTTTGTGGATGTTTGATTACCAACGTTTCGACGTGCTCATCTTTTTCAAGAGGTCTGAACGTAGGTTATATGCTTCGGGTTCTGGCCAGTACACCTTCAAGAACCTCCTCCACAAGTGCCTATCTGGACCTTATCGATGGATAGCAGCGCGAAACATCGAAGTTGTGAATGGGCCAACCTTAACTCCACCGCATACCAGTAAGGCCGCACAATGAGACAATAGCGAACTTGACTGAGTTTCACCCAGTATATCAAGGGTATTTATGTGCGGCTGTTCAGATTGCATAACGTATTAACGGCAAAAGATCACTATTGATTAACACGCATTAATTTTTTGCATTTATTCTAGGATTCCTCGGAACTACCAATGCTGCCTCAATATCATTCTTGCGCAATCTCAGCCTCGTAAGACAAAATGTTACATATAACTTTGAAGTCATTTCCACCTGTGCCTCAGCTTTGTGCCCTCCCAACGGTGCTTTTGATATCCTACGTTTTTTGCTAACCAAATGCTCCTACCTTACACTCAATGCTCTGGCCGTCTCTCTATGTAGCAGTCTTGGTAACCCAAACATTCCAGCTGGTATATCACACCTGTTTTGCACAGTCCCCCCTTCCCCCACATTGACGTAAGGGTATACAATGCATTGAGCTACTATGCTTTCGTATTCGTAGAGTCTACTCCGAATTAGCTGCTTCTTAATGTTATCCTTTAGTACCTCATCCATTACCACATCATTCTGCAGTTACACGCGGTGAATGCATCTTTTGATTGTCGTACTAACCTTTTCTTATAGGAAAAGGATGCAAAGGGGAATTTGTTATCACTTTGTTTACGGATTTTGGTCGCAACATGCAAAGGTTCTGCATCCGTGCCCATCTGGTACAGCTACTCTACGCAATTTGTAATGCCAATTTTCGTAATTCGAGCTGCTCTTTGTAGCCTTTACATACCGCTCTGCAGCAGTTTTGATCATGTTGCGGATGACATGTCGTTTTGTTGCTCCAGGGCGAGCAGGCTTGGATGATGTGTATCAAGACTTTTTGGATGTTTCATTACGATACAATTTAGCATAGAGTACACCATCAGACAATCTGATCTGTGCGTTTAAATAAGGGAGCCATCCGTTGCGTGTTGTTTCTCTAGTAAACCGTATGTGCTGGGACTGTTGATTTAAAATCGTAACGTACTCTCCATTTCGGCTTGAGTCGATGTTATTAAACAACAGTCGACGATATACCGACAGTACATTGACGGCATACGCAAGTGCTGGCTAACCGATTTTAATATAACTGCGAGAACGTGCTAGGCGCTGACACATAAATAGTCCTCGTATCTGGAAGAAATATCTTCTAGACCACTTGAAAATGTTACATTCCAAGCACGTTCGAAGGAGGGCCAGTATTTGCATTTGTTCAGACTAAGGTGTTAATGGCTGCTATATGGTTATCCAAAATTTCCTAGAAAGCTTGTAATCAGTGGCGGTCCCAGGATTTCGGACCGGGGGAGGGAGGAGGGGGCGCGACAAAAAAATTTTTTTCAAATGAAGGTGCGTGGCATCAGCCATGCACTCCTAAAAAATTTTTGGGGTGTTTCTCAAAATTTTGGGGCCCTCAGGCCCCAAATCTGGAGAAAGGGGGCGTGGCATCAGCCACGCTCCGGAAAAAAATTTTTTTATAAGGCTAATCTGAAATTTTAAAAAATTTCAAAATTATTTTACTTACAAACATAAACAAGTCTTTGCACATTTTTATAACCCATATAGGTAAGTTTCAAGAATTTCGCGACCAAGAGAAGTGCATCTCACTAAGCACGGTAGAATCTACAGAATGGAAATGATAAGAGATAAACTGATCTTAATCTTCCTTTACAATTTGTTAGGTAAAAATGCGAGCAGTGTAGTGAATGGCAAACGTGTCCCCTTCTTTGACAGAATCATTTTCTCGTGACGCTTGCAAGCAAGCAGATGCAGCGCTGCAATAACAGCTCAACGACGGTTTCGCTAACGAGAGCTCGATAACTGCGTCGAAATACACCAGAGAAATTGATGACTGCTAGGTGGAAGAACTAGAAAGTCACTTTGAGTTTGAAAAAGACTGGCACTTCTGCATGTAATTTTGTAGTGTATCATGTATATGTTACCCGATACGCGGACAGAAGTAAAGTTGTTTATGGCAGTGCGGGTGATTAAACTAATCCCTAGTTTAATGTTCAGACTACGAAGTATTCCAAAACGTGCGCAAAGTATGTTTGAGAGGACATGACCATAAAAAATGAGCCTATAAAAAAGAAAAGTTGCAAAAATTGTATCAAATAGCAAAAGCAAACAGTGCATAAAAGCAAGAACACTCTCGATGCTAATCCCATCAAAAATAAGCGATGATGTTTCCCATTTTCTAAATGGCATTCGGCTCCCAACAGAATTTTAATTGAGCATTAGAGCGTATAAGAGAATATTTTCGCTAGTGAACGCTGATTATGTCTGAACATAAAGCCGTGAGCGAAGAAATATCCTTTTGATGAGCTGTGCTCAAAGTGTTGTTACTATACATACAGATAGACAGGTAAACAAGCAGAATCATATGCGAGAAAGCTAGCCGTGGCGAGAACATCAAAAAGCCACTGAACATAGGCTCAAGGAGAACAAAAATCGCCATCCGTTTTGCTTTCATATTTTCAATCATCTTACTCTCAGAAACAATTATCATCAACCTTTCTTGAATTTTGAATCTAATCTCATCATGTTCTCATGACATTTCTCCGTTACCTCCCCTGCTCATGTGTTTCAAGAAGTCATGCATGTTTTCTAGTAGCTGGCATGCCCGGCTTCGCCCGCCCCTGCCAAAACACCATGTTAAAGATCACCACCCCTATCTCCGTACAACCTCCCCCTGTTCCAATTCTACGTGCCAGTTCCCCATTCCTGTTTTGTATTCGTAATCAGCATGCTCGATTACCCTCCTGTACCAACTCCCAGCCCTGCAATTCAAACTTCGCAAAAATAAGTTTACACTTTCGATAAAAGTGGTGAATAATTCAAAAAAACTAATATTGTATTCATAATCAGCATGCTCACTTAGCTTCGGTACCAACTCCTGCCCTGTAGGTCAAACTTTGCAAAAATAAAGTCAATAAAAATCGATTAAATCCATATCGATCGATAACGAAGATTAGTCTGCGACACCCGCATTGTCCTCCGCAAGGGTTTAAGTAGAAAGTACCAAGAGGTAAGTTTTAACAAAGTTACCAGTAACAGTGTAAATCAACAAATAACAGTGTCAATTTATGGAGCAGCTTTATACGCTGATTCTAAATATGCTATTCCTAGGCTATTCTTAGTTCGCAGCCTTTCAAAGCGAGGTATGGGCTTTTGCGCAAAATTGGCATATTCATCGACTCATTGCCATCACAACATCATCATCTAAGTGCTACTACAATTGCGTCAAGCTTCTTTTCAGTGTGAGAAAAGATTGAATATCTGTTTTTTCGACATCTCTGCACCTTTCTCTTTCTCTTCTTTTTATTTACAGCAGTCTTTCCAGTTTAGTAGTATGCCAAATTAATGCAAGAAAAAGCCTATAACTCGTTTCGGAATGGTGCGCGGTAGTTAGGAGTGGCATATTTGGAATCAGCATTTGAAGCTGAATTAGAATATATGTTTTTTGCCAAAAGGTTGAGCTAGGTTAGGTAACTTTCCTTCTAAGTTGACACTAGCCCTGCAGTATGAAGAATCCAATAAATTTCCACAGGAAGAGTTATCAAAGAAAACGTTCAAAATACTGTTTTGGAATACCCTGTAAGTATATAGCGATCATCTCTTTGAATCTCTCACCTCGTCTCTAAACAAAAGAAGCTTTCATACACTTATAAAGTGAGTTGGCCTTTTTTCCGAATAGCCTGAATGAGGACAACAAGATTAATTTTTAGCTAAGGGGAGACCACCTTGCATGCTCCTTATCAGAGAAGATGTTGGAAGGCGGAACCGATTTAGCCACAAGTACACATATGTGATTTCCACTTTCAATGCTTGAAGCTGTCATTTGACGGTGTCCAGCTGCTTCCTCTATGTGATAGATGAGCTACAACAATAGGAAGAAAACGATGTGAAGAAGATTACAACATAAAATCCTCAAAAAAGATATACTGAACAGCTTACAAGACTTACACGCTCATTTATTCCTTTGTTTTGAATAAAAGAACAATTGAAGTATGGGTGTGCAAGAAAGGAACACCATGATTACCTCAACATTTTAGGGAAGGCTTACTGAACAGACAGTATACAGCTGAATCAACTCATTATAGCTTAAAATAATTTCAAAGTTTCAATACCTTTTGTACGTCTGCGGGCATTTATACAATTTGTTAATGTTGTCAATGTCCGATCGGGAGAAATACTCCCGTAGGTAATTTTTGAAAGCAGGCATGGGGTAGTGCATGACCGACTCCGGATCATATTCACCCATGTAATGTGCGTAAGTTCTCGGTAGAGTGAGACGATACCAGTAATCCATCGAAGCATCTGGGTTGTGTCGACCTGCACTAATACGTGGGTCGCGATCCTCTCTGTAAGACTCTTTCTTGTTCAATGAGCAGAGTTAAAATCGAGCGAAATTTTTCCATGGACCTTTGATGCTCGTGATAAAAGCCGATGATATGCATTAGTTCATGAATCACACTTTGTCGATTCAAGCAATCAGATTGGAAAGTAGTTTCCGTTTTAAACTTGCCCTCAGGTGTACGAGAATCACCCGTTGTAGCTCGACCGACATCGCTCCAACATCTAAAGAAAGTAATAGCATCACATATATTACATATTTTCAATAACTCGCCCTCTATCATAATTTTTAGAGATTGACAAATAATACATATCATTTGGAGTTCGCGGCCGAAATCTTATGCATGTGTGCTTGTGGAATGCGATCATCGCCCACTGGATGAGACTTAGTTCTTGATAAGTGAAACTTGGTGATATTTCGTATGGAATTTCTCCTCCTGGCCACAAACTAAAAAAAATTCTCAAACTTGAGAAGCTAAAAGAAGCTTTGTAAGAAAAATCCATAATTTGCGAATAAATTACCCTCTAGCCCATTCATCGGGACGAAGCGCAAGCCCTTTGAAATGGCTATGTTTGACAGCACCCATTCTTCTTTTATTAGCTCCATCGGATTCAGCAGATGACTAAGAATAGTGCATTTAAAAAGCATTGCAGAAGCCATGCAGTTTTTGCAACAGGGTATATAGTGAGAAGAAACTTTTGAAAAACCCGTTAGAGGAACTCTTCACAAATGATGTTGAACTTGTTGATTTTTCTGACATTTTCAGAATAAGTTTCTTATATGGAAGCAACCATAAAGCTCTCACATTCTATAAAGAGATGAGGGGTGCCAGTAAGGTTTCAGCATTTTGCACGCACGATGTGCCGAATTATTTCAAAACGCTTGCCGATATATAAGCTGCTTCAGTAGAGCACTATATTTTCAGCGGCTCCAGTCTTTGTGGCCGATTAACTCAGGTCTTGCAACGCGTTCGCAGATGTACTTTCCGCATCAACTGACGGATGCTGGGTGGGGCTCGGCGGTTATCGCGCGGCCGCCTCGCCTGAGTTCTGCATCTCTGTCGCGAGTGTGCTCTCTAATCAATTTCCCATTAGAAAGCCGCTCGCGAAAGAGATGCAGTGCCCGGGCTAGGTGGTAACGCAATAACCGAGCCTCCAACTACCATCACTCCCAATGTTACAGAGAATACCCTCTGGGTACATATTTCTTCACCTCAATAGCTTCCAAAGAACGAAGAAAGCATGGAAGAACGCGCAAAAATTACGTTAGCAAAGCTGCATAAGGTCTGAGCGAGGGGGCGCATAAGCTCCGACGAGATTTGTGGCAATGTCTTCAAGGAAGTCTTTACCCAATTAGCTAGAATTTGGAATCTAGAATTTTTTTGTTTTCTTATGTTTTTTTTTCAGATCTTTGGAAAAAGTCATAGCCGAGCCTCTTTGACTACTATATCTATCTCGCACATTTTATATCAAAACCGCTAGACAAGTCTTCGTTGTTGCATGCAGATGCGTCAAGGCGTATACTTGTAGCAAAAGATCAGCCGCACAAGGGCAAAAAAGACTACGGCCAGAGTTGTATGGTACGGAAAAGTAGCATACATGAAGAGTTAGAAGATACATCCTGTATATGAAGTTAAAGCCTGCTTTTACGTTCGCACGTATGTTACGAAAAGACAATTTATTTTTAGCCCGGATTTAACATTGCACACATACTCTCGGGGCTGGCATGTGGGTTAAGCCAGTTTGCATCGATTGCTATCGATTTTATTGCTTGTTTATAGGCTGAGCTGCAGGGCCGGCAGCTTTACAGAAGTAATTTAGTATGCTGAATTACAATGCCACCAATTTTTAGAATTATCGTTATCATTTCATTAAATGTTTCAAAATTGAGCTGTGGGGCTGGGAATTGGCACCAGCTCGAGCAAGAGGTGTGGCACACGACCGCCGGACACGACCAGGCTCCCCCCGGTGAGTGTCTTAATCCCACCCCAGTACCTACCGTAGGCACAGCATGAGGCAATGACAAGCATGAGTATCATTTTTGTGATCGGCTTGTCAAACAACCCCTGTAAATCAAGTTTTAGCAACTTTGAGATTTCAAATGCGAGACCACCTGAGTGAAATGGTCATCGAACATGATTGACTTTGTTTCAAGGCGAGTCCTCAAGTACATTTGCACTCTATACAAAGCACTTATCTATATTTGTTACATGAGAAATTCCACTGCAAGTGACCGCCGAACTAAGAAATTAGGAGCCAGTTAAGATCTTAATCGTCTCATTTTTCGGCTGTGCTTATAGCAATTGCTATTCACAATAAAGAAAACGGATCAAGCTTGAACTAGATGATTACGATGTCTAGGCTACCGAACTATTTGTATACTAATCGCCAAAAGTTTTTTTGAAAGAAGTCAATGGATTGTGGCGCGATCCGAAAAAAGATGTGACTGCCACACCTTACTTGTTACTCAGAAGTTCAGTCTTTTATCCAATCTTATGTTTATGGCAAATATTGAGTTACAATGGTAAGCTAAATGTGCGCTACCTCTTTGAGGGGATTGAGGTAAAATATATATATATATACATCAGTGGCGTACCGAGGGGGGGGGGCGGGGGGGGGGCGCGCCCCCCCCCCCTAGAATGGGTCGCGAAATTTTTGAAAGTTACTTATATGGGTTATAAAAATGTGCAAGTGACTTGTTTATTTTTGTAAATAATTAAAATAATTTTTAAAAATTTTAAAAAATTCAAATTAGCCCTGTAAAAAAATTTTTTTCGGGGGCGTGGCTGACGCCACGCCCCCTTTTTCCAGATTTTAGGGGTCGGGGACCCGAAAAAATTTTGGGAAGCACCCCTAAAATTTTTTCGGAGTGCGTGGCTAACGCCACGCACCTTCTTTAGAAAAAAATTTTTGTCGCGCCCCCCCCCGAGCCGAAATCCTGGGTACGCCACTGATATACATATATTTTATAGCTCAGGTTAGACCTTTGATAGTCTAAAGACATGACATGACAGACAAGACGCTTTTGTAGATAAACAATTTGTACAAGGAGACAGCCACCCTCGGAACTGCCTCGTCCTACGCTTTCAGAAAGTATATAGCATGCCTGAGGTCCATCCAAATAAAATGCCTGGATGAAGGGTGTAGAGGCTTTTTTACCATTGTGAAAAGACGTCCACTTGAGCACTCCCATTATGAAAGTCTCACCCACCCTTCACCCGGCGCTTTTTTAATGTACCCCATGCAAAGTATATATTTTTTTTTTGAAAGCGGAGGACGAGATGGTTCCAATGGTGACTATTCGGCGTACAAAATGTTTATCTAAAGTTATGAATTTTTATGCTAAAATCTCGAAAATGTCCAGAAATCACTAGGCACGCCCTTCACCCAGGCACTTTTGGACGTATCTCAGGCATGCTATATGTTTTCTGAAAGCGGGGAACGAGGCGGTTGCGACGGTGGCTATTTCCATGTACAATCCGTTTATCTTCAGAAGTTACGGATTTTTCGATTTAAAAAACTCGTAAATATCCAGAAATCACTACCACACCGTTCAGCAGGCACTTTTTTCAATGGACTCCAAGCAAACTATACAGTTTGCCCCAATCCCAACCAGGCTAAAATTGGCATGGCGGGAGTCCGCGTCGCTAGGGTTTCGCGGTCACGCTCACGGCCTGCTTCTCTGCTCCCTCTTCAATCCTTTGCTCTCTCCGACAGCGCGCATATGCAGCGCAGGCCGCTAGCACTGCGAGCGCGCAAATTTACGCCGACGGCTCGGCCTGATCCCGATTGGAGCAGACTGTACATGCTCTAGAAGAGGAGCACAAGTAGGTTTTAAAAACATTTCTTGCTGACGTTGCTGTTTATCTACAAAAATTACGAATTCCTTCTTTTGAAAAGTTCGTAAATGCTTGAAAACTATCTAACTCTTTCCGAAACAAATCTTCTCGCATGCCTTCAACGGTAATTTTAAAAACAGGCAGGGTTATGTAAAAAAGGGAAAGGGAAATGTAAAAAATACAAGGTGCTGGTCAGAAATACAGTGCTAATCCAACAGCACATTGGCTCACATTTCAGATAAAAGACAACCAGTGATGCCAAGGAATTGAAAATTTCAAACGTTAACTAGGAAAAATGGTGTTAGAACACCATGGCCCTCCCTCCCCCCCCCCCCTCCGACATTTTATAATTTCTCTGCGAAGTGAAATACCCCTCCCCCTGCTACCGCTGGACCCCCTTCACCCTGGAGGAGTCATTCTCACCTTATCGCACCTATGCACCAGAGTACTAGGCTCTATTTATCGAGAGTATGGCTCAGGTCTCTCAGTTTTCATAGAGATGATATGAGCCTAATTCGTCTTCTTGCTAAAAGCACAACCATTAAAGCGAAAATGAGACAAAGGAGGTTTTTACCTGGCTCCTAATTTTATACTTTGGATGGGGCGGGTGGTATTTGAAGTGAGAGTTCTCACGCGGATAAGGAAGGAGTGTGCTTTGTGCAGAGTGCAAAAAGAGGCAGCTAACTCGGCTTCAAGGCAAAGTTATGTCTTGAAAATGACCATTTCACTCGGGTGGACTAATATTTGAAAACCTTAGATCCTAAAATATCCACAAGGATCATTTGACATGGTACTTTTGAAAAAGATACTCATTATGCTCGATGGGAACTCTTTAGATACGTTACGTATACTATGGTGGGTCAGTACCCTAATTTGCTTCTATTTTGCATAGTGGACTTGACTTCGTTACACATTCAATGTTATTGCTAACACCAGTGTCACGTCCAACACGACCTCTCTCCTCTCTGACCCTACAATACAACCCCAGGTGTACGCCTGCTGGCGTTAACTTTGCACATAATGAAGACAAAAAACCCATCGTTTTCTGTCATTTTATTCTTTTCTTTCGGTCATCCAGCTCAGTTTTTGTATTCGTATGTACATTTACTGATCACGTCAACAACTGTAAAGGAAGATAGAGGGGTTAAGATCATTTTTCTTAGAGAGAGCTGGAAACGGGCAGTTCGTTCTAAATACCAATGATTCGTTAAATATTTTGTATTGAGACAGTTTATACAGTGGGATAAGTACATACCAAATGGTATAAAATGGATATCTGGAATGAACAACATTGATTATCAGAAATTCCCATCACAATGTTACTTCTGGATCTCACCTAACACTGCGTTGGGTAAAAGTCCGATCTGGCAAATTTGGCCATGTCGGGCACGGCAAGCCGGATCGCGACAGATCGGTCTCTGCTGCCCGTTCAGGCCATGCTAAATAACCTCACAGAAATCACGGTTTGGACGTTTTGCCTGTCCGGGCCGGCGTAAAGATGGAAAGGTCCAGACAGCGTATGAGAGATTGATAAGTACCGCCCCTAGTTGACACATAGAGAGGGGAGGGGTAAGTGAGCATGCTGAGGGAAATCCAATATTAATTTTCAGAATTATCAATTTATTGATGATCCTACTGCAGACTTAAGGCTGAGACGCTGAGTTGGTACACGGGTAATCGAGCATGCCGATGGTGGTAATACCGATTTTGGCTTAAATCTGAGGAGCTGAGAGTTGCTACAAGGGGATGAGCATGCCGATTACGACAGAATAGTAGGTGCAGGCATCTGCATATAGAAGGGAAGAGGGACATGAAAGTGTGGAAGTGGTTATCATAGCGTATTGAAAGGGGCCGGGTGGAGCGGATGTATGTCAAGGGGCGCGATACTGCCAGATGGGCACTAATTAGCGCATTTATAGTATTCTATGATGTTCTAAAAGCAGTTCATATTTCTAACAAGTTATGTGTGATTGCCCCATGGGCTGCTCGATCTATCCTTTTGAACTGGACTTACGAGGAAACGATACTTGGTGTCCGTGGCGTTTTGAGATGAGGTGTATACCATTACACTCATCTTGGAGCGCTGATTTCGAATATGGCTTCAGTTTCTGCTAATCGCTTCTCTAAAAGAAGTTATGAAGGATTTTTGCGCCAAAGAAGACGTGGTCGCAATGCCAAAAATGCCGCTAAGATGTCATGTAATGGCTAGTGAGATAGCCTCGCAAGTTAATGTAGGTTTAGGTTCGAGTCCTTTTGTGTTTTTCAGTTTTGCATTGCCTTAATCAAGCTTCTTTTTATAAGTTAGGCATCCTCGGTCTCACTTCTCTTAGGCGACCATTGACGCGAAAAACCTTCATAACTTCTTTCAGAGAAACGGCTAGCAGAAAAGGAAGTCAGATTCGGAATCAGCGTTCCAAAGCGAGTGTGAAGGTATACGTTTCATCCCAAAAGGCCACGGACACCAAGTATCGTTCCCTTGTTAGAAAATAAGTGTTGGAGGTCAAAAGCCTGTGAAAAAAGCACCTAATGGCGTTTTCATGAAAACTTCAATCGGATTTTCACCAAAAACAGCCAAGCTCAGCAAGTGGTAACTTCAAATAGTTAGTAAGCTGCAGCATTTTGCCTGGTATCATTTAAAGACTCGCATAGCTCTAAATTGGGCTCTTAAGTTGGTGACCTCCACAGAAATCGCGCCTCTTGACCGTCTCCCGACTGGAGCTGGTACAAAACAAGAGTCAGCGGTATTATAGAAGAACAGCGGGGATAAGGAGGTAAAAACCAGCTGAAGTTGGTTTTTTAACGTGCGCGAACGAGAGCTGCGACAGCGAATCTCACCTTTTCCTTTTCTACAACCTGCACCCGCAAATTTCTCTCATCCAAAGCTGGAACGAATCCAACTGAGTTAAAGTTTTGATGGAACTGGAAACTGTGACGCAAACAGGAGAAGGCTTAACTTTCACCAGCTTTTTACGAGAGAATTGTTAAACTTTGATTAGGTTTCGTTGTTTGCCGAAAGTCGTACATGATTTTGCCTTAGCTAACAAATTCCATTAGGTTGATATAAGAGCAACGGCCGTTTTGCAATTTTCACTTTGACTTGCTATAATTTCCTCAAACTCTACATTTCTAAATGCGAAAAGACATTCAAAAACAGCAAACTTTTTGCGGTATATCGCACATTCATCTGCATTCACTTCATAAACCGACAAAAACTTGATTGAACAATCAAAGAAGTTTTTTTTTGGGTAGAGGACTATATGCCGCCGAAATGGGGCGTCTCCCGCGGTCATCTGCAACGACACGCACTTTTTCATTGCTTGGAGGTGCGTTTTTGCAAGATCTCAGCGCGGACCTTCCCCCCTTTCCCAGATTTGGCGACATGCAGTCCTTCACCCCATTTCTTCCCACTCCTTTCAGTCTGGTAATTCTATCTTCGAAAAAAACGTGTCCACCGTCCCCGTTTATTTGGGAAAAAAAGTGAGTGGCGTCTTTGTACAGCCTCACGATTTGCTCAAAGCTGCTGATCTAGACGTTCTTTGGAACTTGAGAAAAACGATAATGAAAAACAAATAATAATTATTCTGAAGAAAATCACCGCGTTTACTGATGCGTTAGAGCGAAGTTTGCAAAGAGACTACTAAAGCACAAGTAGTGCCAACAGAGAGCCAGACTTCAAATCGGTGTCGAACTTGACATAGAGAACTTGTTCCCAACTTCTGATCTTGCGAAAGAAGTAAGTAAATGAAAAATGATAGAACTCTTAAAAAAGTGAGTTAAGCAGCAAAAATTATTCTTACCTCACTATTCAGAAAGCTAGAAAAAGTTCGAGAGTCTATGTCTCTTATCATGTAAGCTTCCAGAGGTGCATTAATTGAGTGGACATAGGGCTTTCCTGCTGTGAAAAAAAGTCTGTCAGCAGATCACAAGGTTATGGTCAGAAGTCGAAGTGGCCAATCCAAGTAAGCTGCCTATTATTAGATGCAGCACTCCAAGCTGACTTCGAATCTGTATTTCATATCTGTTTAGCGCCTTTGTGACCAGGTTATGAGCAGTTTTACTACGAAGAAATCGTACAAGAGCATCGCGGAATTGGGCACATTGTTGCGTTTTCAGCTCACCTCTAGCCTTTGAGAATATAAAGTAACCTGCTGGCATGTTTTGAGCCAGCGTTATGCCGAATATGGCTCTGTACTGCTAAACTTGTGCTTTGCATGCACGATTTCGCGGCAAAATAACGGCTTTAGCGGCTCATAACTTCGTCCACATAGGCGCTAAGCAGATATGGAATACAGATTTGGAGCCAGCGTTTTATGCTATCTGATATTATTCAGCTTGCTCGGATTGGGCCACTTCGGTTTCTGACCATTCCCTTGTCAGCAAAATTACAACAACGAAGCATGATTTTCCTCAGATCACACATTGAAACCTTTCCCTCTCTTCCTTCCATTACCCCTTCCGCCCGGTAGACATTTTCATGAACGTACGCAATCGCCTGCCGGGCTCACCTATATTGTCCGCTTTCCATGGACCCGCCTCCCTTATCGCACTTATCACCGTGGATTCCAGAGGTCAATATTCACTTCTTCATATTTTCTCTGTAATTGATGAAACGATGCGATCCACGACATGGCATTGACTTTTGCAATGACGACAAAGGCTTCTCCTACACAATTCCTCCAAATTAGCTCTTACACTAGTTGGTGCTTCAATGGTTGAGACCGGTCCCTCATCACTTGCGCCCAAAAAAAGCTGAGGAATTCTGAGAGATGGTATTTACATGCACACGCGTATACGATGTCGTACTAAGTTTCTGCTTTAATCCATAACGTCCAGCAATTCTTAGATGAAGGTGATGTAGATGTAAAAAGATTATAATGCTAACCTGGGATGAACGGACATTCTGGAGAGACGCAGCGAAGGAACGATGGAGAGATGGAGCAGGCAAGCGGGTTCCAGCGCCTATACATGAATATTTAGTCACTTTTATCAGAGTTCAACGCAAACCTGGAAGACTATTATTGTTTGGTGTAGTTGCCAATAAGGCGAATTCAAAGAGCAGGTACAGCATTGAGTGTGCTTGATTGTCTGTGCCTATTGCAAATCGTTGTGTACTTAGTCAGATTGAATCTGCGAACCTTTCAAATAGATGATTTTATCAAGCGTCTAGTTGCCGAAGGGGTGAGAAAAGAAGATTAAAGGGAGCAAGCGGTTTTTGAACAGGAGGGCCACTGGAAAAACGGGTCGAATTATTAGATTGGTAAGAAAGTTTTTAGACAATTTTAGACCGAAGTTGCTATTTCTCAGGTGGCGATGCATCTACGAACGCGAAAAATTGTAGCTGTACTCTCATGTATGTGGCTTACAATTGTGCAGGTGGGAGGTGCTTATGGCCAATGAGGGGCGGAGTTTGTCACATTTTGACTACCTCAATTTTCTTGCTATTTAAGCTCGAATTCCATCAAAACTCCGCATATATTGGGTGCGCCACAATTTTTTGCGCGTGTATCTCGCAGCACCATACGAATACAAGACCGGCTCCGCGAGAGGTCAAGCTTGCTATGGTTTTCTTGGTCCTTCTATAACACTGCATCCTAGTTGAAAGATGTGAAATTGCCTGTTTTGCTTTTCGGTAAAAACTCACAGTATTTTTCTGACTCTGTCGCATGCTGCAAGCGGGTAGAGGCTCACAAACTTACCCAGCATTCATCTTTTTAGTGACCGCTTCTCTCAGGTAAAGATCTCGCTATAAGAAAGATAGAGCTAATCTTTGACTTTAAGACCACTGAGGTTTGGAATCTTTAGCAGCATTCAAGACAAAAATTTTGACTATTTAACCATTTGCGTCAGCTTGCGTTTTTTCGCTAACGAACATTGTTTTTTGAAATTCTTACTTCTCTAAATAAAAAACGATTTGAGATACTTATAGTGCTTTTTATAGAGTACGCTTACGGCATTCTATAACATTAAATCCAGACCAAATTTCTCATTGCCTTTGTTGTGACACTACTTGAATATTTTGGCGCAAATAATTTTGGCGCACCCTGTACATATGTAAGTGAATTGACTACTATACAGTGAAGTATTTGTGAGTAGCATGCACGGAAAGTGGACTTTCTTACCAACCTAATAGCAATGAAGGCAACAGTGTTGTTGTTACTAGCAAGACTACTGCCTAGTTGGTTTATATGCATCATTGAAGAATGGAGCTTCATACAAGAAATTGCTTCTTTCACCACTTTAGTTTGCATTATCTGCATTTGCAACACTTTATACGGATCTCTTCATTGCAAAAACAGGGTGGGGGAACGAAAGCCGCCAGGTCCAGCCGCCTCCGCGGACTGCTGGTCCTGGAACGACATGCAACAACGCTGCGAAAGGACCCGCTGGCCGCGAAAGGCGGCTGGACCTGGCGGCTTTCGTTCCCCCACCCGCAAAAACATGGTGCTTAACCTCTTTGTTAGAATTATCGGTGCCCACTTAAATCTGGCAAATGAATTCTCACGTAACTGTCGTGAGGGGCATAGATGCGATAGGTAGAGAAAATACTCTGACCTTCTTCACTTTGAAGCCAGCATCTGGCGGACCCCTTTCACCTGAGGTTAAGACTAGAATCAAGGCATGACGGCAAAATCAAACAGCTTTACAATGACACTTTTATCCATGTTCGACTATCTATTAATCTTGGCATGATAGTTATACTTCACTGATCTTCTTTTTTCAGCTGTCAACCCAAGATTGGTAAAACTTTCTATTAAGACCAACGTTTCGGCGATTTCGCCTTCTTCGGGGTCTGAAAAAGTCGAGTGCTTAGAGAACATTCCGTCAGCTACCGCATCATGACCGAGAAACAAGCCTGACCTGTCAGCGAACCAAAAGAAATCAAATGACCAATCAAATGCTATCTAATCGTCAACAATGATCGAGTGTATTATGCCAAAAACTGACCAACACTTTCATTTACAGATCTAGTGATCCGGTCTCGGCCTGCTGTTATCACAGAAGCCACATAGTGTCTGATACGGGACCAGTTCTTGGGTGATGGCTAAGCACTCATCTTTTCTATTCATTTTGAGACTTTCGGTCGCGATTCAAAACGCCTCTAAAGTTTTGCGTGTGAGGATCTCGGGTTCGTAAGCTGAGATTGTAACCTCCATGTTTACTTCTGCATCATTGCGGCGCTGTCGGCGGTGCATGCTCAATGGCATAGTAGGATTCGATCTTCTAAGCCCGTCTAAGTGTTCTTTAATACGTGTGCATAATGGGCGCCCAGTTTCACCTATATATGATTCTCTGCATGACTGACAGGTAATATGGTACACTACACCAGAAACCATACAGTCGCCTTGCTTTCCGAATGGGCAAATAACGTAATTGGGAGTCGTACATAGTCTGTCATAGGCTCGTTTGCCAACAAGTTGATGTTTGAGATTGACAGGTGGAATGTCAACGACTCGTACCCAGTTCTGTAATTCTGCTCTGTCTATCAACTTTCTGACTGTTATACTTAGTTCTTCGGACACAAATGGTAAGAAGAATGGAATTTTTGTTACGGTTGCTGCAGTTCTGGTATTGTCATTGCGCTTGTGTATTCCATGGTTGCGCTTTTTGGTAGGGTACCCATTTGATTTTGCTACCGTTTCTGCCAATGCTAGGGAATAGACTTTTTCTGCGGTTACGGACGAGACGTTTGCAGCTGCTTTATACATGTTGCCAATTACCGACTTTTTGATGTGGGCCGGATGCTGAAACGTAGTGCACTAGTATATTCCTGCTACTTGGTTTACGATACCATCTTGTTTTGAATTCGCCATCCATCAATCGAATTTCAACGTTTAAAAATGCTAGCCAATTGTTCGTGGGTTTGTCTCGAGTCAACTTGATATGCGAGAATTGCTGATTCAAAATCTCGTAACAAAGGTCGAGTTCGGCCTGAGTTGGACATACAATGAAACAGTCGTCTACATAACTACAGTAAAGCAAAGGTCTTCTTTCAAGGATTGGCGCTTCCACTTTCGACATAAATACGATAGCTAGCGTTGGGGCTAAACGTTGTCCCATGGCAAGGCCTCTAATTTGCTTATAATAGTGCCCGGACCACCGAAATATTTAGCATTAAAAGCATTCGTTCAAAAGGGTCATAATTCCACTGATAGAAACGCCGTGCAAGTTAAGTGAAGATTGATGTTCTTGCAATAGCTCAAAAGTAGCTTCCATAGCATCGCGGTTTGACACATTCGTATAGAGTGCATTCACATCGAAAGACTCTATAATGCTGCCTTGATCTACACGCGTACTATGTAGGCGATCCAAAAACGTAGCGGTATTAGAGAGGTGCGACAGAACATATTTGAGCAGCTGCGACAGTATTGAATTTAACCACGCGATCTTATCCGTTGTTGGACCTCCGATACTGCTAATGATAGGTCTGATTTTGAAGTCCTGTGGGTTATTTGAACGAGGACCGCTGGGAGGCAATTTATGTGTCTTTATTAGGGTGTACAGCACTGGGCAAACGGGTAAATCGATCTTTAGACTAGTCACTAACCCTTTTGGTATACCCTCCGATCGGACTACTTCCATACTTTGTTCAAATGACGATATTGCCTTTTAACACGTTTCGGACCGGTGCTGCACATGGTGCAGCACGCTCCTTTCAAAGATCTTTTCAATCTTTGCAGGAGGTTTTCTTTTTGTCCAAGGTTATCAAATCAAAGGCCTAAGCTCCTCCTTTTCAAGTGACTCTGTAGAGCTGTGCCAACGGTTTTTGTTTAGAACATATGAGGACAAATCGAACAACAGTTGCAACGAAGTGCGGCAACGCGAACGACGCGTGCGACGTCGCAACTTTTCTTTGCTCCTATTTCAAAGAGAAGAACCGTGGTTTCAGTAATGATGCGTACTGTGTACAACATAGATACTTTTCGATAGTATTAGAAACTGGGTTGTTGTTCCTATCTTTCAAGGAAGCACAGAGGTCCTTCTGAAGCGGCAAAATTCAAACACTTTGAATTCACTCAGAACTTTGGGTATGGATCTTGTCCGACATGCTGATTACAAATGTAGCACACAGTCTACGAATCAAGGTCCCTTTGTTGGCTAACGGCTGAAAGTACCCTCTTTTTCGCCGCGCGCGATTTCGCGGTCCGAAACGTGTTAAACTCCGCCGCTGATGATGGTTCGTACACTGTACTGTCTTCAAGATGGAGTTGCGTAATAGCGATATCGAGTTCACGGGATAAAACAACGAAGTCTCCTCCTTTGTCACTTAAGAATAGTTTGATTTTACCAGAGATCTCGAATTTCACGTAGTCCGCGGCGTTGGGCAGACGTCAAATTATTGTTAAAACGAGCTCTCTTATACTTGCTCAAGACCGAGAAGAGGGAAGTGGCAAATACACGGACTTAGTGTCTACTACCTGACTGGGTCTTGTGGTTTGTAAAATAAACGTGGAAACGGCAATACAGGCAGTTTGGTTTCAGTGGTATTTGCTCCCGATGTTATGCTTTCTATCTGATTGGCTTTATGACACAGGCGTTCTCGAAAAACTTGGAGGTTTCCCACAATCTTGCGCGATACCCTGGGTCCAACAAATTGAGTGGGCGCGAAACTGGGACCTATATTTAACAGTGAAAGTGCGTCGTCAGAGATGTGCACGTCGCCAATTAGTGAGAAACGAGAAGCACTTGATATGCTATCTGAGGTATTAGTACAGTTTTGGCTTTCAGAATTGTTGTGGTTTGCATTAGCCAACCCCTTTGAAATTGATGCCTCTGATCCACCAACCTTTCAAACTTCTTCTGCAGTCTAGACTTGGCTGCAGACCGGACATGATCACATATGCCTTTCGACTCGATCACGATCCTCCTCCAAAGGTGGTCGGACAAATATCGTTGACAACATCGTTCTTTGTACAGGCATTTAGATAACAACGTGCACATATGATCTTGTCTTGTTCGCAGTGCAATCCGTAATAGGTTTCGCTCGATCTTCAATACATCAGGGCTTTCTTCTAGCTGACCGCATAACTGATGAAGTCGTTTCGTCTTGATGAAATTCGGAATAACTCCTTAACATAAGCAGCGTCGGAGGAATCGGACGGTTTGTTTTTTTTTGTTTTTGTGTCAGAAGAACTAAG